CAGGACCTGTCTCAGTTCAGAACCCAGTCACTCAGTCCAGAACTCAGTTGTCTCAGTCCAGAACTGAGACAGGTTCCAACTGAGGTACAGCATATATATTGTTGATAGTCGGTTTGCTATCAACGGTAGTATTATGAGGCGATTGTGTAAGAAGATCGTCTTCATCCTCGGAAATAATTATATCATCTTCATCTTCTTTGCCATCAGCATTAGAGACCTAAATGATAAAAAGGGAAAAAAGCAATAAATATTAAACTGCCGAGTGCTATGGCTCCTGAATTTATATGCATGGTGAGATAAAAACATAATGGAAAAATCCCTCTACTGAGTTCGTAGTGATGGTCAGTAGTGCCTCTTTTTGGTCCTTTTTCTGGCTTCGTTTTGAAGCAATGTTAAACAAATTAAGTTACTTCCTTCTGACACAGAGTTCCGCGCAATGTTGCATTTTGAATGATTATTGGACTATCGATTGTATTATCTGATTTATTCTTTTCCCAACTTCTTGCTAAGTCATAATCAGGTCTAGGCTCCTAACAAAAATTTGTGTAAATTAGTAATTCTTAACACGTCTTTGAGTTTCATCTTATCTGGATCAGTGTAAGGTTTTAACATCAGACAACCGAGCGGGTCACTGATGGATGGTAAATATCGCCACTGTATTGTCCGCAGTGCTGTGAACGTTAATATTTGCCTCCCGTTGAACGGATTTTGAGTTTACAATGAGTGCCGTGTGCACAGAATATTAAGTACGATTTGAATTTAGATATACTGATGGCTGATTCTTCAAAGACGCGAAATCGATTTTCGCCATTGAGCCTATACATAGAACAGTCAATTTCTAATACCTTTTAGGGTCCTACCAATAATAACATCCAGTATTTAGAACCATAATGCAATGAGATGATTACAAAATATTTGGCGGCCGGATATCACCGTGAACGTATCCTCCTCCATTGGAAGGCGAAGTTGTTGGGTAATTTTAAAGCGGGATATAATACACCCTAAATTCGGAATATTATGCGCACAATGAATTGAGCATGAATATTCAATGTTCTTTACGCGTACCTCGGCATGTGTATACAAAGTTAGTCTTTCATCTTGAACATCGCCTAAATGGACTTGAATTTTTTTTTTTAAAAAAAAAAGGTACAAATCAGAATTGGATATTGAATTGTCGCGTACTTTGAATTGAGATAGACGGCATACCGAGACGCCCATTCACTTCAGTTCGTCCTCTTGTGGGTGACATTCCTGGTATATATTACTTTAAATTAGAAAAAAATTTTCCTATCCAACAATCACACATTTGATACCCACGAAGTTACCAAATTTGTTTCGAACTTGTGGATAATGCGGGTAAGTATTTACACGAAAATGTTGGTGTGCACTTATAATAATACTGACGTTCTTGAAATTAGGACATGATTATTCGAGCGCTGAAAGTATACTGTTCTATATCGATAATTCTACCTCCGAATCGAGTGAAGAGGATTCTAAGATTGACGAGGTGAAAATTTTGCCCAAGAAGAATTAATAGGTGGACTGATCAGAAGATCATTGCATTTAGTATATTTTTTATAATAGATTTGAATTGGTGCATCGAAAAAATAAAAACTCACATGTGCTTTGCAAATTATTGATCAAATTATGAGAGTTAGTATACATACAACGTTATAACATAATAAATTCCACGAAAGTATACATGTAAAAACGATCACGATTAAATATACAAAAAAATATCCACCAGGGCCAGCTTTATTGATGTAGTAAAAAATAAAAATAAATTATAATCTACTCGAAATTGGAGGAAACAGTCGAACTTTTTTCCATACGCCTACATGATGTGCATGAAATATAAGACTATTAAAATATTCTATGAAATATAAATAAGTTAACTACTAGTAAAAATTCTAAGTTGCGTTCTCGTTACAACATACCCGCAAAATCAACAAAGTTTCCACGAATCCTGTTACATCTTTCTCTTCAGCATGTTGGGATGGAAATTTTTGTGAAAATATTACCCGAATCCCTGATAAGTACATTAAGATGTTAAAAAAATAGATTTGTTATGTGAAGAAGATAAAAGTAGGAGAAAAAACATACCCGCAATTTGAATTCCAATTATCCCAAATTTACCCTTTTCCGGACAACATCCTTTACAGGTCCAAAAAACTCTATCATTAACTTCTCTCCACAACTTAACGCTATCATTTATTTTTTACGCTCGGTGCAAATTATGCGAAAACATTCAGTATATATGAGTTCATAAACATAACCACCATATTTTAGTACAAACATTATATCCAGAATGCCCTTCACCTCTTTTATTCGCACTAACAATATTTTGTTTCTGAGCTAAATAAAGATAAAATTAATATTACTCTGAATACGCCTAACAATATAGAAAACATAACCTACGTGCTAACGTATGAAGATTTTCCAAAGAAAAGATCTTTTAACACAGCTCGAATTGTAGGTACAATGATGTTTGTCACGTACGTCCCTTCATTCTGCGATTCTATAAATTCTGGACTAATTGCTGGGTTATTCTACGTATCATTCAAGACGCTGAGGATCCCTTTTGTAACTTCCACGAGAATTTCGTCTTCTTCTTTCCAAGATTTATCATGTTCCACTTTTTCTGATAAGACCTCCATCTGTCGTTCGTTATAATAATAATCTGACGCAAACTCTTTACATGTTTCTCGAACAATTGGTGGTAAGGAGCTAAGTACCATCTTACGAGCTGGTTTCTATAAATAAGACATTATCCTACATAAAATGTGATGGTAACATCATTACCTCATAAAAACCCTTTTTTCGGCAATTTCTTAACTACAGTGGTCGTCATAAATATCCGGAATTTAATCTCACAAATAAAAAATTTATTTCATTATTTCTGTATGCTTAAATTTTGTACACACGTTGCCGAATACAGTTACTAACTGTCTAAAAATTTTCAATAACCTATCTTTTTTCCTTAAGGATTGCCCAGACGCGAAAACAGACTGCAAACAAGTTAACTGTAACGCGTCGAGGTAACGCGTTTGGTTATGATGCATGATACTTTAATACCAATTTTGTATTAGTTTAAATTGGTTATGTTACATAACTTTTTCTGCACTGAATCAAAATTCCGGATATTTATGACGACCACTGTAGTCGCTAATAACCTGACTAGCGATAGAATCTTTCCATGACAAATCAGAAACATCTACATCGCCAAAGAGTTAAGTAATTCGTCATAAAGCGATGATGAATTTTGCTGATGAATTATATTAGAAGTTAGAGATAGTAATTTATTGCCTAATAAACAATTAATATTAATGCTTACTATAAGTTTCGACTTCAACTCCGATATGGTTTTCTATCTGCTCAGAACTGAGAGATTTTCTTTATTCTTTATATGAGAAAAGTTAGTATAATACAATACATTTTTTCTGATATTAATATATATTGAATAACATACCGTTTTTACCGCCCCCAATATCTCGTAAACTACACACTCCTTTAAAAGCATCATCATACTGGCGCAAAACATTTTAAGTTAGATCATAATCTTTCTGGAAATAAATATTTAAAAATTGCGCGCGTCGTCAGATGGTTTTAAGTTACTATTACATATCAATATTTAAGCAATGAGTAAACAAATAAAAAATGAATTCACCTTGCTGACACGTCGGATACAATATGCACTCTATTGTATCCTAATAGGAGAGGGTTTATGGATGCTTCCCTGATGTCAGAAGGGTCAGGTAGAACATCGGATGCAAATTGTTTGTTATTCTAATAAGTGGTGCATGTTGTCTTGTAAACAAATTATTCAACATAGATCTAACATTAATTAATACTTACGGAACGAAAGTTGTAAGTCGTTATTTTATTTAAACAATTAAAAAAAAAAGAAAACAAGAACCTACAAAACCAAATTAAATATGTCACAAGAGCACTTTATTCTCGACAACTTTATTAATAACAATAATTATTTTCACTGTATAAAGACAGGATCGCAGGAGTGGGGATTAAGAGAAAACGTATGAACCATGACCACTGAAATCTTAGGAAATGCAGTTCCTTTTCCCTCTCCACATCATTTATCCATCCATCGCATTTTATGACAATGATTCGTTTTTGAAATGACCAATTTTAGCCTAGAATGTCACGATGACTCTGTTGATCAACTACAAAACCAATTGGTATTCCAAGTGTATGCCTAATCTTGTTAAATTTTGTGCTCACACTATTAGCTGAGAAAATAACGTGTGCACTTTTGTCACATAATTAACATTACGGACATTGATTGCAACTGTAAGTTAATTTCACTTTTCATTTTTTTCGGCACAAAGGAGAAACAATGACCATATGTAGTAGTTGTAACACCTTCATTTCCAAGCGCAACTCCCGTTCTCTGGTAAATTATTTAGTTGGGCAAAAGAACTGTTCTTTTCGGATAAACTTTTATTCACAATTGCTTTAAATCTAGTGAAAGAAACTTTAATCGTTTTAACGTTGTGTTGCGGGGCTGTGGGTGAGCGAATGATCTGGCCTGTTCGCCGGCAAGGGGATATTACCAAATTAGCTTCAACTTTACTACGGCAATCGTCAATTAAGACTGGATACGAGAGCTACAAATGGCCTAATTTAATCACAGTGAAAACTCCTGTCTATCATCACAGTCACGATCAAATGTTGAAAACTAGCATGTACTTAAATGCGCAACTAATAAAAAGTAGTCACATTCAACTACCATCTATTGATATTGAATAACGCTATATATAATATCTAATTATTCTGAGCACATTTATGAGCGTTGACGCTAAACCTGACTATATTAATATTAATGTCTAATTATCCATTGTATAGAAACAAGGAAACTTCGAATTTGCAATAGCAAACAGGTAGAAATAGAGTATGCGACTTTGAATTTTTCCAGATTAGTTATCTCCATAATTGAACGTACACGTTTTGTGCCCCGGACTAATGCTATGGTTTCCAGTACAGTAGCATATTCTTCATATTGTCCACGTACAGTATGTCTGACAAACGATTCATAATAGCAAGTTCCTTTTTGAAAATCTTCTCGTGAAAGAGTAGACTCCTCATTTTCATTATTAAGCATTGTCCAACTGAATGATTATTCCGTCTTACACCAACGTTAATTATTGGTTCATGCGATAATACTTTTGTTATAAATCGATAATATGCTTGCAGATTTTTTCTTCATAACCGGGTTTATATGACTTTTATTGCATATGATAGGTTACTGTTCTATAAACATTGCAGTCGGATGATTTTATTAGTAACACCCACACCCCTCATACTAATACTAATTATAGTGACGCTAAATCTAAAAACCGATAATAATAAATCAAAATTCACATGATAATCACATCTACTCGAAACTGTGTTAGTTTGATGAAACAAATGAAACTGGTCAAGCTTGAAATAGGAGAGAATTTGATACAAGTTTTGGGTTCAGCTCAATGTAGGTTAAGAGACATTTTTATTAACGGGGATAGATACAGTATATGCGAATCTTTATAGTTAGCATTCCATTTTATATCATTATTGTGACACCAATGAAGGCTCCCCTGAACTTAGTAATTTACGCCATTTAGATGAAGATCATGTTAGTTTCTATATCGCGTAGAGAGAAATCGTGCGCATTGATCTCATGTGCATAGTTAACGAAGATCCCCACCCAACAACTTATTTCGGATGAGAAATGTCTCGTTTATATTGACGCAGCTGATGTCGCGTGGTGTTGAATAAAGCCTACGTTTAGGTGAATGAGAAATGAGGATGATCACATTCCAACCAATGGAGCAATGTCTCATCAGCTGGGGATTATTATTATCACCTTTGCGGCGATATTTTAAACTGACTTTTTTGTCAAGCGATTACACGCAACAATTTCCAATAAAAGAACAGAAATATTGAATTATCCAATACTAGCAATTATTTAAATGATATTTTCTTTTTACAGTATGTGCTTCACAAATAAATGCAACAAGTAATGACAGTTAAAACAAGAGAGTATACTTTTTCATTTTTTAGTAAATTTTTCTCTTCTCTCATTTTCATAACAGCATTCAACGCCACACTAGCTTATCCTCGCTCTTCGCTCTTTTACTCTCTTTCTTAATCACTTCGCTCCCTTCTTTCTTTGGATTCATTAATTTAAGCCAACTCCAGCTTCTATCACCTCAATTACGAACAATTACATATTCTACATTTTTCACGCTAATCGATAGACCATCGTTTGATGGTCCCCCGAACAGATTCTAAATTAAAGCCATTGTTTCCTGGTGGGAATTGGTCTCCCGTCTCGTTTTCATTGTTGCAATCACGCGATACTAAAAATTACACAAAGTGAATGTGAATAAATTACAATAAATGTATGGCGGTTACGATAGAGCGAAAAAAGTATTCTTACAGTGATATTTCAGACCCTTGTCAAAGTTTCTCAAACAAAGCGCAGATATAATTAACGTCACCTGGAATGAATAATGTGGCGTTAGAGCACTGGACAAAGGAATTAACAAAATAAGACCAATTGTTTATTACTTACCACGCCCAAAATCATACATATACACACTAAAAGGGAAAAAAAAGAAATTTTTATACGTGCGAGTTAATATATGAGTGCTACATTTTACCAAAAACTCGTTCAATAAACCCACTTACCGAAAAAGGTAGCAAATATCCTCGTTCCCGAGTATTTTTGGGGTTGTTTCGATATATCGACAAGTTTTATAGTAAAGTACACCTCTGTACCTACACAGCCCACCATGAATAGATACATCATGAGCTTGTTCTCTTTTTTAACCTTTTGATAAAGAAAAAAAGACTATCGTGAGTACGCGTAAAAAAAAAGGCCACTTGTCTATTCCCAAATCCCAATTTCTTTCTGCTTACCCCTAAAAAGGCGGCCATAAGCATCGATGTCGATATAACAGATGACATAACTATGTGTCCTGCGATTTGATCGGCTTGTCCATTAGATATAAAAATTACAAGTACGAGAATCTGCGCAGAGAGGCCAACGAAGAAGAAGAGGTCGAACTTCAAAAGCATTATAAATACTGTAATTCGATGAATAGAGACAATGCGAAGAGGAGATAAGTAAACAGACATATAATCGACTACTTATACTATGCAAAAAAATAAAAACAAAACAAAACAAAACAGGATACTCACTTTGATACATTTTATAGCGGTCTAGCGAAAGAGGGAAAAAAAAAAGAGATAATGATTACACAGTAAATATCGATAATCAAATCAAATGGGTTAAAAACACTCGTTTCTCTTTATAATTACCTCGCATGGCCATATCAGCTCCAATCTTCTTGTATATACTCCATCCGAATTCTTGATACAATTTATATGCAAGATAAGCGAATCCCGTAGCGAGGATAGATATTAATACTATAATAGTAATTTCATACGGTAATATTGTTATTTGTTTAGATATAGAGATATTCTTTAAAATTTGCGCCGACTGGAAAACTGTTTGCAATTCAAATCGAAAGATGTATTAGTAATGCGGCAAGTGGTTTACAAATGTTATAGCGATTAGATAATCATACCTTGTATTACTGAATATATTAATATGCCGAATTCGAATAATGTTAATGCAATGATCTGGATGGTATTTTGATTATATATCTAAAATAAACACGTAGTCTATATGTGAGTATGCTTCTTCACTTAACTCGATTCTCACCCTCAAAGTCTCACAGAATCAACTTACCGCATCAACGTATATACCGAGCTGAAAAAATTGAGCTATAATGAACAACACATGATACACAGGCATGCTCCTTGCGTTAGCATAAGTTTCAATCGTAGCGTTCGTCCCATTCGTAGCGTTCGTCTCATTCTGTGCGAGTATTGAGACTATCTCGTTATGTTTGGAATATACAAAAGCTTCCAAACATGTTATAAAGACTGCCTGGTAAGCCAAGACAGCTAGAGCCAATTTGACATAGATTGATAAACCGGACTAGGAGAGTTGATTTGTGTCAGTATGGGAGATTGAAGAAAGAGTCAACCAATAATTATGTAATAAACCCATGTATTGTCGAGTACACTGCCAATAGTTTATTGACTTGTCCGTTCAATTTCGTAACGTACCGTTTACCTGTCGCTATAAAACCCCCCCATTTTATCCATTCCATTCCATTCCCACTCTTCCAATCAACACTTACCAGTTTCTGAGTTAGCGTTTGCAACATTGCGTGTATACTAAGAGTCCCCGAAAAGGGGGAGAATGTAAAAATGTAATAGTGTGATATTTACAATGATAGAGAATAAGATTCTGTGCTGACTGAGCGACTTTTGTTTGAGAGAGGTAAGAAAAAGTAGGGAGATTGTGGTGGAAGTGAATGTTGGGCTATTGCAATAATGTATTATTGTGTATTATATGATATGATTATATAAGTTTTATGATATGAAATGGGAAAGAGAAATGAAGAAATGGTGAAATGGTATAGACAATGCTTGTCGACGGGTTGTTGTGTGTTGTGTGTTGTGTTGTGTGTTGTGTGTTGTGTGTTGTTGTTGTTGTTGTTGGATTCGTAAATCGTGGTCGCTGTTGATAGTTATATTATAGAGTATATACGTGGTATACAAGGTTTGTGTACTTGTCCGAATAAAAAGGCTAGCAAATTATTCCTTAATACCAGCGTTAAAACCAAGGGCCGTCAAAGTGCGTTATTTAAATCTTCAAAATAGGAATAAACAGTGCTTCTGGAGCTAAAAGAAGAATATAATAATATAACCGAAATATAATGTAGTGTAATACTATTGTAGACGTGGATGGTTTCCTATATCAGGATATGAAAGTTAATAACGTTTTAGTCAATGCAGCGAAGAGTTTTGGGAGTGAGACGCCGGATACTGCAGGTGAATAATATAATAATACCTCAGAGCCAGTTGTGGGATAAGGAACTCTTTGACTTATTCCCTCTATAAAAAAAGAAAAGGAAAGAGGAGGGAAGAAGCAGAAAGAGAGAAAGAGAAAAAAGGGGGAAAGGGGAAGAGAGGAAGAGGAGGAGAAGGAAGGAGGGGCGGGGAGAGGAAGAGAGAATGTGAAGTGTGGAGAAAGAGAATGAAAATGGTAATATGATATATAGTAGTGGAAATATGCCTAAATTAAAGTGTACCGAATATAACAATATAAATATGTTTATTGTTATTGTTATTGTACAATGCACTGTATAAATATTATACACACCCCGTTCCCTCTTACCCTATTACCCCATTCCTTTACAGTTCCCGTCCCCTTTTTGCTTTTATTTTATTAATATATTAATATGTTGTTATGAATCAGACCAATGGTAGCTTGTCATTCGGCCATGGTCCGTAATTCGTTATCACCAATTCCAGAATTTGAGAATGAGAGATGGTTAAATAAGGTAATCGAGATGAAATTAGAGCGCATACGATTGGGTATGCTGTAATCCCGATCACAAAATACATTACATATAATAAATAATAAACAATAATAAATAATGCTGATGACGATAATTTTAAAACTAAAAGTTATATGATGCATTCAGGTATGTGTCTAACGTTAATTAATTAATAAACCCGGTATATTTGATCACGCTGCAAATGCAATATAAACTAAAATTATTCCAAACACCAAAACATTTCTGGTTGTATTAAGAAATTAAACACGGTGTAATGTCGACATGGGAATCAAAAAAAATTATCGGTTAAATGTTACTACCCGCATGTGTAACGAGGGTCTAGATTACAGATAGTTAAAGCCTGAATATACACAATAACGATATAAATACAGATAACAACGACTTAACAAGCATGTACAAGTTATCATATACGAGAGACTGAGAGTATAGCCGCACTTTGATTCCAAGAATGGGTTTGGGATAACGTTCGGCAATGATAACTCTGTGGTAGCACATCTACTATACACATTTTGTAGAAAGTCTACTCGCGAATAAACAAAATATAAATGCATAGTCTCCTCATAGCCTCTCCACATTGTGTATGCATTTTTAACAAATCGGTTCGTTGTATCGGTCAAAACGGAGCTTTTTTGGGGAACAATTGTGACGCATGGTTCTAAACATCGAAAGTAGAATGATATTGACAGTAAAAGTTAAACTTTAGCATGCCTACTTCACATATCATCAAGATACACTTTCTTGATTTATCTGATATTCTAGAGAACATGATTATTAACAGGTCGAGTCGACGTTTAATCAACATAGTAGGTGAGTTCAAAACGGTTATTATGGGAAAATACAGTTCTGGCCTTGGATTTGATGTTACTTGTTTACAAGGTTGTTATGTATTGCCAATTCAGAAAATACGTCTCCAGTAGCAAAATTGAAGAATTAATCAGAAAAGTCGTAACATACAGTGTTCCAAGTGACCCATGTTTTGAAGGAGTCGTTACTATGTTTTTACCAAGACCTTTTTATAAGACGTATACAGTATATCTGAACAAAGTTAAAATCTGCTAATAGAAAGTTTGCCAAGTCAAACTTAAGTATCGTATTTGAGGAACGACTTTACAGAAGATATCTACGATACTACAAAATCAGATATAAATTTTCCAACCTATTTTTACACGGGAAAAACTATGCATTATGAACACTATTAAAGAGACCATTATTACAGCATTACTGTAAACAATTTAGTCAAACTTGCAAGTAGCACAAATGAACGAACAAACAAACAAGCAAACAAAGAGAGACAACTTTTCGGTAAGATCAACAACCATGTGCCTTTTCTTGCATATGTAATGGAAAAATAACCCAAAGATGCAGCTCAATTTAGTTACTCGTATTAGAGCGGAACAGCATTCTCTGCGATTAATATTCAATCTATTCGATCTGAGATATAAGCGTAGAACTCTAGCAAATGTTCACTCGTTCGGTTATGCTGTCTCAAGGTACAGCGTTAGTATGTCTAAAAATTGGCAATGTTATGCATTGTGCTTTGCAGCGTTTTTTTTTTAAAAAATTATCGTGCTCAACGCATTGCTTAAAGATGATATTATGATGTCATTGTTGAGAGATTGTATAAAAGATACTGTATCAAAATTGGATGGCTACGCGAAAATTAACTTACAAATTGCAAATGTTGGTTTATAGGAACCGAAAAACAAGCACTTGTTGCTAATAATTTGTATTTACACGTAATATCTTCAGTTGCAAATGTGGACTAGATACTTTTAATTTTACCCAATATTTTAAAATTATGCTGAATAGCATCAGGTGACATAAGTAGATGTTATGATGTTCAAATTTTAGCATAATAACGACATTATACAAACAAATATTTTGTTAAAACCCAGTGTTTGAACTTCGCTATGACACGCTTTTTACAAGAGTATGAGAGTCATTTCTGATAAACTTGTGTTTTATCACGTTGACTTTCGGTCATATAACGAGATATCACGCATACGTGTATTTTGTACAGCCAAAAATTTGGGTGTGCAAGACTCTTGTCCGGTGGTATACGATTTATTCATATCACCACAGCTTTCAAGATGGAGGCCGAGACAGTCTAGCCCAAAACTCGGTCGACAACTTCAGTACAACAAGTTAACGTGTTTCGCTCGGCGTTATTATTTATTAGTTATTTGACACTCGTGAGAGCGAATCGGTTCTCAGTCATTAAAATATACAACCAATGATAGTATTACAATTCTATTTGTCAAATTTACGTCTAAAATAATCCCCCAAAACACCAAATAATCGAACCAAGCCCAAATATAAAAATGCTCATAAAGTCCCATTTAACTTTCATGCTTCCACTAACCGGAACCGTGATCACGGTGGTGATACCTGGACCGGTGGTTGCTGCTACGCTGCTCGTCGATTGTGCAGTGATCGACGGCGACGGATTTGTTCCTGCTGCACTGCTGGAAAGAGGTTGGTTGTCGAACGTGACGATGACGTTGGCGTAGGACGTGAACGTATTCGGGTTTATTACCAGAACGCAATAGATTGCACTTATAGGAAGTTGACCCAAGTCGCTGCCTCTAGCACAGATCGTTACGCGATCGTCAAAGCTTTTTTCACAAAAAGAAGAAAAGTGTTGGTTTACTGAAGGTCGAGCAAAACGTGTATTTTTCTCGTTTATCCTCTCTCCCTTTTCCAAACTCTACCACCACCTCCAAATCGAATCAAATTATTCTCTACTAACCAGGAATAAGTAGGTAAAAACAAATTAGCTTCACCTAGTAAATACTTGTTGAGATCAGTCTGAGTCATAGCAGCACTGAGAAGGCCTATCGAAGTTGCAGTCATTGTGGGACTTATTTTATTGACTAGCGCAACATTGCCAAAATTTGGCGTTGCAGCGAGTGAAATATTAGAGTATGTGGTAACGTAGCCTGATTTTTGAATAAGAAAATTAGCAAGTTTTTTGATTTGAAAAAATGAAAATGTCGCAAGGGATACTCACTTATTGTAGTTGTTGGTTGAGCAGAGCAAATATACCTTTTTTGGATGCGACCGTTAGCGTTAGACGAAAATAAGATTAGATACTGGACATGTTATATTTAGATACTGGCATGTATGATCCAACAGCTTTTTATTTTTCTTACCATGTGCTTCCAATTGGCAATACAATACTGCCTGTTTGAAGAGAACCCCTCGTCATATTCGTCTAAATGCGATTGATATTAGAAACTAATCCAAACATCGAACCTGAACCCATCCATATAAATACCATAACTAATAATAGCAAGAGACTCTTTAGTAAGTACTGCATCCTGTGTGTTTGTAAATTTGTTGAATTTAATCTTTAATCGTCTTGTCCTTTACAAGTCAAGCTTACAACGAGCGTAAAGACAAAGGTCATCATATTTGCCCTCCTTTTATTATCCTGGAAAGTGTGACAGCAGGACTGAAACGAATGCAAGGTGTAATTATAAATCACAAATTGATTTGTGCGTCTGTACAGTGTTACAAATTTTATCAATGAGTTTTAGCCCAACAGATCATCTACAGAGAAAACGTAGACGGGTGATTTCTCCCGGTAATAGGTGATTCTTAGCTTCAATTTAACTGATGGCCTGGGACAAATCGAGTAAAACAGTCAGCGATTGACGGTCTCGTGACTCAGGTAATAAAGATTATACGCCGATATAAATAGAAAAAAAAATTGCTTTTATGCCCTAAAATGACCCAAACAGGAGAAAATGTCTTGGCGTACGCAGCAACTGTCGCATGCAGCTTGGATTTCTCGATCGCATAATATTACAATACGTGACCACAGTAAATAACCTGGCAAGCAGGTTATTATTCCTTGTTTGCAATTACTTGTTTGTACGTAATCGGTTAATATTCGACAATAGCAGCCGTTCCTGCTTATCTGACAGTACACCAATAGAACTGGAATGATTTGATGGTGATCATTCTTAATATTAAAGGCTAACAAGAGAATTGATTAGTCCGACTAAATATTAACATGCCCAAATATTATTCTCTATAAGGAAAATAGTGAATAATTCCAGTTAAATTCTCTTGTGATGAATGTGTAATTATAATGGCGTAACACATTTTAAGTCAGAATTTTAATGTCTTAACCGAATCAGTCAAAGTCTTGAACGTCTCAGCAGACATGTTCAAAAAATACGGATGTGAGTTTAGAATTGCGTGTTAAAATTTCGCACCGCATATTGCTCCTCCGCAGCAGTCGTTACCAACACAATAATTCTTCACTCGAGCTTTACAAATCAATGACATCATAACGAGCCGCTTCAATGAGTAGCTGAGAAAATATATTCCATTTAGAAGCTCCATTCATATTACGTAAGTAATAGTTCAAGCGTTCGATTATATTTTGAACGGAATATACTTCACTAAGCAAATATATTAACCGTTTATTACCATCCCATTGAATGCGGGCAACAAGCGTGTATTTCTAATTGGCTGGACATTAAAGGAGCTACGGGATCGAAAAAATCGCAATTACTAATGTATCGTTTGTGAGTGGTAAACCAGCATTACTGAGGATGTCAGTAGGAAAAAAAAGAAGAAGCCAATTTTCCATCATTGCTCCCCAGATACTGTACATACACTCACTGGACAAAAGTCTACGTAATTTTTGCCGATCATCGATCCAAACGATTGTACAATCAAACTTTGAGA